TGGGTGATGATGACACTCAGAGGCTTGAGCCTTAAATTAGTCACTCGGACGCAGGTGAGGGCGAATATGGCTTCGAGTAGGACAGATGTGGTGAAAGGAGTCGAGTGAAATAGGTGAACAAGTGGTAGAGCAGATGGATTTTAAGGAGCAAATGAGACACTGAGATAAGACTACGATGCCAGCGAAACGTTTGGGAATGTACCACGTCCACGGTTCAACTTTGGAAATGATCATGCAGACAACCCCCGGACTAGGTGCGTTCCAATAAGTCTTCCTACCAATATGACCATGTTGCGAAAACAAGGTCAAACAATCAACTAGGTGCGTTCCACTAAGTCTTCCTACCAATATGACTATGTTGCGAAAACAAGGCCAAACAACCTCTATAGAACGAAAGGAGACTTCGACCACACAAAAGACCACACCATCTTGCTCTTCATACCTTCGATTAAAAATATATATGCTTCATCGGCAATTCCACCAAAGAATGTTAAATAGAAAAAGGTCTAATCTTCCCTGAAATTCGCATATGACCTCTGACATAAGGGCACTCAGGGCAATGTGCTGAGTAGTTAACGTGCCAAGCTCACATGCTGCATTGTCACGGTTTAACTCCCGCTGGAGGTGTTGATAAGACCTAGACGAGGTCAAAACTACAGTGCACCTTGGATGAGAACAACTTTGGGGAAAGAAAGGCTATGTGAAATTCAATGAAAACGTCAGCTTTACTCACATCATCACCTTAAACGAAATAACTGATTTACTGGTAGCCTCGAAACTGCTTATATACCAAAAATTAGTTAAGGCATGAAATGAATCCTTGAAGGCAACCTCTGTTAAAAGAAAAAACGGCATCTGTGACTATGTTATGAAGTTGTAAGGTTTCCATAATCTCCAAGATCATATATCAACTCTCATTAGCGGTAATCTTAAGCGTTTTACAGTGACGGAGATGTCATTGGAAAATGACAGAGAAAAGATCATGCTAATCCCAGAAAGAATAAAAGAAGTGGATATACCTGGACTTCGACATCAATAAATTGAACAGATAGTCGAAATTCTATGAGGCTTCAACAGCGGCTTTTCTTAAAAAATTCAAAGGATTTCTTGATGTGAATGATTAAGCTTGAATAGCTCGAATCATTCGAAATTTTTTGTCCTAACTCGTGACTAACATACTGGAGGAAATGAATGCGGGTCGGAATATATCCTAGCCTAGCAAATATGTGTATTCATTTTAAGTTAGTTAGCGTTTTAGAAAGTGATAATTTAATTAGACATTATAGAGCTTGATGCCCAACGCTCCATTAATCCCAAAATATAGACTGACTATGCAATATTGACTGAGTCTCAACTGCAATCCAGCCTTGTTAGGACCCTGAACGAGCGTATTCATAAAAAAGTACGTTGCTATCTGACATCATTAGGGCCTAGCGCCACTTGATGAAGTAGTGAAATGTAGTGCCACACAGGCAGTTCTCAAGTCGCTTATAAGGCGAGGAAATATCGGCAAGGGTCATTAGGTTGAGTTATTCTATCGTTAAATAAGAATGCTGAATAAAGAGTAAGCTATTTAAAAAAATAAGTAAATATATACCTGGATAAAGAGGTATGTGATCAGGACAGAGACAAGAGGATTTCCGCCTTTAGTGGTCCACGTGACTGGTCGAAAGAATGCTCCTGTGGATAATAATAAAAGATGCGAACATGCTAAATAACATGAAAAGCGGCTAAAATAGAAAAATGAGCTAGGAATATAGTTGTTCATAAGAAGAATGATAAAAAGGAAGCTACCAAAAATCTCATCCTTGGCAAGAGCCTCAAGAATACGCGAGCCACCAATGAAGTTGCCGAGAGCGGAAGATAGAGTAGTGGCAAACACGCCGATGACGACAAGCGGCTGCCAAAAACTGATACCCTGCATGTAGAGGTAATTGGATGTGAGCAGTTCCCTGAGGCAAAGAAAGAAGGATTACCAATTATGATCTATCAGTTCATCAGCGAAAAACAGACGTGAAAATATTAAACAATTTGGGGATATAAATATAAGAGAAAGCTAATAAAAGACAAAAAGCACAGACAGACAGACGGAGAAGCTTAATTTGCAATATAACAGAAAATTTGCAGCTTCTTAAAGGTCAAAAGCAAATTCAAAAACGAAGGTAAGAAATTTTTAGAACATACAACAACAAAAGCATATACCGATGAAAAATAGGTATCTGGGGTGTTTCCTAATCTACACTTATAGAATCTTCTTGGCTCAACAAATTTATGTGGTAAAAATGTAGGAACGATAACCTACTCTGATGATTGTGATATGACTTTTAATTTTGGAGGAAAGGTAAGTTGGAAGGAATTCGTTAATTGCTCTTAACGGAAACCGGAAGAGTACTTTGAAGGAATAAAAAGTGTTGGATTCAAAAGGGTTCTTAATCTCACGCTTGGATGTGGATCGAACGTGAAGTCGAGTTTTTGGCCAATTGCGTGCTAAACAGTTGTGTTATCTCTCCTTCTGTCCTGGGCTATTCAAATTTTCTGTATCCTCGTATCACCCCTTCAATAACACAATTTCTAACTTGTTTATCTAAACCTAATTGAAGCCGCTGGTTTCTACATCCCTCCCAGTGTGCCGGGAGTCTTGATCCAAGGCTGCGGTTTAATCCACAATCCTCTCTTTTCGAGTCCTATCAGAGTCCCCTCTTCCTCCGTAGGATCCTTCCATTATCTGCTTGTTTCAGTGATTTCACTCCATCGCTGCCACCGTATCCGTGTTACTCAATATCCTATGTTCTACACTCCGCCTCAAGCCTTAGATAGCACGTATACACAAGCCTCACCGAGCATTTCCCTTAGGTCTAGATTCTCAATTGGCAGAACAACCAAACTTGATGCCAAGAGGTGCGACGGTGAAAATGGACAGGCAATAGTACATGGAAAAATTGAAAGTACCCTACGCGACTGGAACACTTATCAAATAGTAATAAAGGATTCAACAATGAAGATCGATAGAATACTGAAGGAAATGCATAACAACGGAGAAATCGGCAGATGGATGACATATATAAAATGACGCAAGACCACCAACAGCCTACCGACTACCGAAGAAACAAAAGGAAAGAAAACCACTAAGATTAGGAGTTAACAACAAGCATGTAGCAACACACAAACAAGCAAAATTTATATGCTTGATGCTTAGGAAAATGAACGACATACTCTTGAACACCGTAATGAATTTACATGAATTTTAACAAAGGACCCAAATTTTGGACTGGCAGGGACGGAAACGTTGATATGTTTTGACGTACAATGTATGTACAAAAACAACTCAAGCGAGAAGACAATCATCGCCCTGCTGAAGGTCTTGGAATAAGAGAAGGATATCCTGGAGGCAAAGCGGATACGGAAAGTCTTTAACACGACTAATCAACCTGACAGTATCACGTATTTAACGTTCAACGGCAAAATCTATAAGCAAATATTTGGATTGCCGATAGGATCTCCACTCTCACCTCTTTTGGCAAATATATAAATGGGCAGATTGGAGAAGGAATTCGAGAAGTCACTGCTGCAACCAAGACTGCTAATCTTGATGACTACTTAGGACACTGGAAGATCAGTAACAGCGGAACACATCGCACGAAAGAAACATGAAATGGAATGAAAATCGACAGAAAGGCTGGCTGCACATGGTGGAAATACAAGAAGACGTAAGATACGAGAAGCCATTGATATCCTGACTGAAATAAACCTGATTAACAGGAGACTTGAAGAAGGCAGGATTAGCGAAAACTTTGCATACTGCCTAAACAAACTCGGAGATCAAGGAAAAGCAATATCAGCAAAAAAAGTAATATTTTTTGTTTTAGGAAAAGAGATTAAGAGGCAAGAGAAGAAAAATCGCAAACCGAGAGAAGACGTCTACAGTGAGCCTATTCAAATCGAATAGAACTACCACATTTGAGGGTCGGCACTAAAGAGAAAGTCATAGACTTAGCATAAAGAAAAGAAGAGCGAGAGAAACGGTGGTGGCCATTTCTAGTGGGAATGAGAAAGAAAATAATTGGGTAATGGATATGAGGATTAGGGATGGGCCTCACTCGCTCCAAATCCTCGAATATGACGTCAAGGTGAAAGGGCTGATAACGACAGTATGGAGTGTGAAGGGTTTTCATGAATGCCGCCCGAAGGAGCACACGACACTACATTAGGAATAAGCACGGTAAAAAACTGTGACAGGGAAGGCATGATAGAAGGATATA